ATTATTCATCCATGTTAATTAAGGATAATTGTGTTACCAGCCTAATGAGTTTTGCAGCTAACACGACCCAATGCCGGCCCCTATTAGTAGAGTTTGATGATGTGAAGATAATGAAAATAGTAACCGATCGATGGATGTTCTATTCAAAAACTACAGTATTACTAACCAAACAATGTGGAAATGAAATATCACACTATAATTTAATTGGGACATATATAATCTCAGCCGACGACAACTGCGAAGCTAAAATTAAGGGATTCAGTCTGAAAAGGCATCATGAAAATATAGAGGAGTACCCGTTTGCTCCCTTACCAATAATAAATCTTCCGGAAACACCACAGCTGTTAATGAAGACATCTTCAAATACAGCAGCAGTAAACCTGGATGACGTAGACCTGACCAATCTACACTAGCTAAACCACATAACCAGTGATAGTGTAAAAAGTTAGCAAAGTGAAAGTGTCATAAATGTGAAGGACATAAGTATCGGGACATTAATTTTATATGTAATTTTAGTTATAATAATTGTAATCCTATGTAAAAAATATTTGTATCGAAATTATCGGACTCGGAAAACTTCGTCCGGTAATTTCGAATCTGAGGGGGAAAGAGTTATGCATCTCGGTATTCGCGGAACTGCACCGGAGACATTCACAATTCAAGCGTAAGCGTAGGCGTAGATTGCTGAATTGCGTCTGGAAGACGGGTGGTCTTTCGTGTGAATACTGATAACTGTTCGTTAGCTTAAAGATCTAGAATAAGAATTAGGATAGTTTTAGTTTGGCTCGCACATGTATCGGACATGTAGCCTTAGGTTAGAATCCATCGCGGATTGGATTGGAAATTATTTGATTTGATTTGATTTGAGTCAATTTCGAATCTTGACTATCTTCACAATAAGTTGATGATGAGTTGTTGTTGACGAGTTCACATTGGGAAATTTTTGAGAGATTTTGACCACAGCTTAAACCAACGGACATTTAGTTGATTATTAGAGTGTGTTAAAACCACCCAAATGAATAAAAACCTCGAGATTCACATTCAGTTTAGCAATTCCAAAGATTAGCCCGGACAGACAGACAGAAAATAAAAATGTGAATGCAAATGAATAATGAATGGAAATCTCGTGAGTATTCTTCCGAAAATCAGTATTTTGAATTTCGAATTTTTAGCTACTGTTACTGTTAATTTGTTTCATCGCATAAACTAAAGGCTGATTTACACGGGGTCAGTCACTGACTCCAAATCCCAAGCAAGTCAGTGCTGACCCAATACTGACATAGTGTAAATTGATTTGGAGTCAGTACAACGTTGCCACGTCAGTGCTGCTTTCAATATTCCTGCGTGAATATTTTGAAGTCAGTTCACTCCCTCAGCCACCAGCGCCAGCGGTACTGACCTTGTCTAAACGACCAAGTTAGTTTATTTTTGATATCAGTAACGTGCGTACACCGTGAAGAAATTACCATGACTACTGACTGCATGCAAACAGTGAGATCCAGTTCTCGGCGCCAGCCTGGTACTGACCCTGTGTAAATCAGTCTTCATCGATCATATAAGTACATAAAAAGTCAGAAAATTTTAATAAAAAATATATAAAGAAAGATCAGGTTATTTTCTTTAAACTTCGAGTACTGAAGAAAAATATAACTCTTTTAAAATTAAAGAAAAATTTACGCATGTAGTGTGTAATCATATAATTTGTTTAATTTTGTGTGGGGTACTGAATATTAGCCCTTCAATCCATGGCTAAAACGATTGACAACGATTGCAATTACCCGCGCTGTTTATAAAAACGGCGTCGCTAATGCTACCCTAAACAATAAATGTATTTAATACTCTGCTACCATATCATATTTTATCATTATGTAAACGACAGTTTACTAGTTGATAAACATATATTGATCTAAATTATCAAATCTAGGGTAAATGACTTTTGTTTAGACTAATGGATAGAAAATTGTGTATAGATTATATAATATCAAATTTCTTCATAGATAAGTAGTCTCTAAACATAAGTTTTTATGGTTTAAAGTGCTGTGGGTGGGTGCGGTCGCATGCGACCGCTCCGGATTTGAGGGTTGCTTCCACGGAGGTTTTGGTATGGCACAAGTGTTTGTGCCTCACTTCTCCCAAAACTCTTTGACGAGGAAGCGGAAACTTAACGCTGCTGGTGAAATCCTGCTCTTACACTACCGTTTTTCGTTTAAATTATGGTGTGTAGTTAATTTTGATACGTAAAAATTTTGTCTGTCTTGGGACCTTGAGATACCATCATCATCGACTGTTTATTGGCCTGAGTTAAGCTTTCATCAAAGTCTCCGAAAACCTTCACAACGTGACGCATCAAACCAAAGAGTAATTATAGTAACTAGCTGTCCCCGTGACTTCGTTCGCGTGAAATTTATTACAATTGAATTTCATGGATTTGAATTTTTTGCGAAAGACCCTAATTCCTTTTCTAAAATAAAAATAAGACTAAGTTACTCCTTATAACATCAGCTGTCTGCCTGTGAAAGTCCTGACAAAATTGGTTGAGCCATTTCGGAGATTAGCCGGAAAAAACAGAAAAACGGAAACAAAAATTTTAAAAATTGTTTTTTCTTTTAAAAATATTTCATAAAGATGACGTGACACCTCGCCGATTTAGTTCAATCATTTTAACTAAAAATTAGCAAAACTAATGTAATACTTTTATCTATCGGCATATTATATACGTTACATACCAAAGTTAAATTTTATTCACTCTCCCTCCCTCCCGGATTAACGGCCCAGAAAGTGCTCCAAAACGCGGTTTTTTTTCTAGTTTTAAAGATTGTATGTGTATGTGTAACTGTAATGTGTGTATGAGTAAATTTTCTATCAACCTTTTGTACATACGAAAGCGATATAAATTTATAATTTGTGCGCAATCTACCATAAAATATGAATATTTCTTATCTTTAATTGATTTTTTTGCTCATTTTTTGTTCTTCCTTTTTTACTATTATATTATTTGTAAAAAGATAATATCTACAAAACATAAGCAATTAAATTTATTAGTTCAGAGCTTCCCTGTAAACGATATTTGATGTTGTTTTATTTTGTGGTAGCAAAATATCCTCGGTTTATAACGTAGTTGACCAGGTACCGGTGATGAAGTAAGTTAAATTTTCCTGCAATTCCTTCATAAGTAGCCTCATCTCATTGCACATGCTCGGGGGGCTTAAATTTCTCAAAAGCATGATTGGCTTTCCGATTTTTAACGTCAATTCGTGTGGTGGCAGTCCAGAAGGGTTTATTGAATTTAAAAATTCCTGTGGGTAATGCTGCGTCTTCCATATTAGTCATGTTGTCGATTGATTTGTAATTTTTTATTTGTCCGGGGACTTTTTGAATAATCGGATTGTTTATTTTGTTGACATTATTATTCCTAGTTAGGCGAAACTATTGCTCTAGAATGAAAGTCCTTTTCGTGCCAACTCATGATGCCAGGGTATACTGCATCTATTAAAATTTCTAAATTATGGACTATTCGGCCTAGGGACTCGTCCAGAAGGATGTCACAATTTCTGCTTAAATTTGGAGTGGGAAAAATTTCTTCCCCTAGTTTTAACAGTTGTTGTCGGAAATCACTATCTGTGATTCCATAAATATGAGCGCTCATATTTCTGCATAATTTTGAATTTTCAATCGAAGTCCATAAGGAAGACGATTTCAAGCATGCTTTGATGATATCTAACCGCGTACCTCTGTTAATGACGGGAAGAGTCTGTTGGAAATCTTCTGCAAATACAAAAGTAATTCCGCCCATAAGAGCAGAGGAGTTTCTAAGATCTTTTAAGGTTCTGTCCACGGCCTCCATATGTGCTCTATGGCTCATGGTGCATTCATCCCACATAATCAGTGAGGCGACTTTTAATAATTTACCAAGAGGCCCATTTTTGCGGATAGAACATGTAGATTGTTGCTCAAAAGTTACAGATAGTGAAAGTTTAAAAGTAGAATGAGAAATTTTTACATTATTTAAGAGAGCTGCAGCAATTACTGACAAAGCAACTTCCCCGATTGTCGTACCTTAGCAAGTATCAAATGGGGAGCGCGAACTTCGAGAGAGACATCAACACGGATGGTTGCTGAATTTAAAAGATTTAAAAAGTGAAAATTTTTACTTAAATTACATGGTTAATGTAATTGAATACGAAGTGATTTATTTGAATGTAACGATTAATACCAAGGTACGAATAATGTGGCCTAGTTTATATCGGCGTTATTATTACATATTATAATAACATGAAAAATTAGTAATTGTGACAAAGCATAGTTAGACATATGAAATCACAGATTGTTTTGTAGATATTAATGTCCTCTATAAAACTGTTGGACTTTGCTCTATTTTCAATAGTTTAAGAATTTAGGGTTCTATTGAATATTTTTTGAAAGTTTGACGTAACTGTAATAGTTAGACATATAGTATCGCGGACTTTTAATAATAATGATAATAAAATGTGCATAAAATAAGGCGTAGGGAAGTGACGACCCCATCGCCCGCTGACGTAACGGTTATGTGACAAAACCGCTACTTCAGCGCAGTCAGTCAGCACCTTGCCAAGAGGTTTTAGTGCCGTGCCGGCAAAAATTGAAGGTGAGGTGCTGTACTGGGTCTGGGCGTCTCCCGTTAAATGACGCCCACAAAAATAGATGATGGATTTGACTAGAATGCGCAAAGGCCCGCTGCCTGGAGACGCCAGGGTGCGTCTGGAGCTGGCGCTGGATGCGACAGCATGCGAACCGCCAGCCAACGAGTGCGAGGTGCTGCACGACCACCCAGTAGCTCCTCGCATCCATCATCCCCACCAGCTGGCTTGGTGTCGGCAGGGTCATCGCGGGCCCAGCAATCGGCACCCGCCACTGGTGGAGCACGCCGCATGCGTTGGACAACTCAAATGAACAGCAACGCATTGCGGGCGTATTTTAGGGCGAAAGGGGGAGAAATTGGAGATTTTGCGTATCGGGCAAGGATGCATCGACTTTTTGCTGAGCTGGAGCCATCTGTAACCGTCACCGAGCAAAACCTGGCAGACCGAGTTCGGTATATCTTGCGCTCAAATACATTTGATGTCACCGAACTCGAACGGCTACGACGTGAGGCTGTTCCTTCATCGGATGAAAATGCTACGGATGAGGAGGCGGCGCCACAACTTGCAGAGCAACCGGAAAACGTGGATGCCGCCGTGAATACCCGAGTTTTGGTTGATTCAAACGATGATGGAACACTCGCCCAGGAACTGGAACTGGAGCAAATGAGGAGTACATTGGATGAGGCGATTTTGGAAACGCGCAGTACGCCTCTTGAAAATCGACCGCGACTTCCCTGCATAGCCCTCAGCAAGCGGGATCGGGCTACCTTGAGGGCTCTGAACCCAATGCTAGTGACCTATTTGGAAGCCAGACGGGACCTTTTCGAGACTGCCTGGACGCACTACTGGACAAAGTAGTGCTATCCCAGCCAGGAGAACAAGAATTGAAGAACGTATCGCAAAGGCTAGGGCCCTCATCGGCAGACTGATATGCTTCAGGTCAGACAATACCAGGCCAAGGATTGTGCGTACCGTCAGGATGGAGTTTGCTGGGACAAATGTTAGTTTGTCCCAGCCGGATATAATGCAAAAACTGACGGAGCGCATAGACGACCTGAATCAGAGAAGAGGGGCCCAGTACCGAATCAGGCCGACACGGTCGCATTCTGGCGTAGCCTGTGGTCAGAGACCGAAAACCACAACGAGGGCCCTTGGACGGAAGTTGTGGCGAGTCAGTGTGCTGGTATTACGCCCATGGACCCCGTCATCATAACGCCGGATGACGTAGCTGAGGCGGTCCGTAGGGCCCCGAACTGGAAAAGTCCGGGATTTGACGGGCTGCATCACTACTGACTGAAGGGGTTCATGGTGTGTCATGCTGTGCTCGCTCAACAGTTTCAAGAGGCTCTCAACCAGAAGTCGCTCCCGAGCCTCCTCACTACCGGGATCACTCATTTGGTCCCTAAAGATCAGGGTACCACAGACCCGAGCTAATACCGCCCCATCACGTGTCTACCGACCATATACAAAACACTAACATCCATTTTGAGCGCGAGAATCACTCGTCACCTGGACTCAAATCAGCTGATGTCGCGCGCTCAAAATGGATGTCGGGGCAGCGGTCGTGGAACCAAGGAACCACTCCTCATTGACGCGGTCATTGGCAAAGTGGTGAAACGCAACCGTCGGAACTTCTCCGCCGCCTGGATAGATTACAGAAAGGCATTTGACTCGGTGCCCCATACATGGCTAAAGAGGGTCCTCGAGCTCGAGACTTCCTCGAGCAGTGTATGGGGCAGTGGAGTACGAACCTCTGTCATCTAGGCGAGCGGATGACGGCTGCGGAAAGCCGCATAAGGATAAGAAGGGGTATATTCCAGGGTGACTGTCTGAGTCCAATCTGGTTCTGCCTCTCTTTGAACCCTCTCAGTAATTTACTGGAGGGCTCCGGGAGGAGATTTCAGCTTCGGAAAGGAGGTACAAAAGTGGCCCACCTTTTCTATATGGATGACCTCAAATTATTCGCTTCCAGTCGCTCCCATCTTATGGAATTGATAAACATCACTTGTGAATTTAGCAATTCTATTAGAATGGAGCTGGGGACGGATAAGTGTGCGGTCCTCCATGTTGAAAGGGGAAGGGTTGCTAAATCTGAGGGCATAGACTTATCTATGCCCGTCAACTTAAGGACCCTTTCCGAGGCTGAAACATACCGATACCTGGGTATGTCACAGAACATCGGTATCGATGAGGCTGTTATGAAACAGTAAGTTTGCGACGTGTTTTATGCACGCTTGACCAAAGCGCACTACTTCGCTCTGACAGCTCGCGACATGTTATACTCCCGTTCACTCGGGACCGTAATGGCGGGAAAATTTGCAAGTTAGCAAATTTTTTGCTATATTGCAAATTTTGCTATATTTTCACTTTGAGACAATATTTATGGATAAAACTTACATGAATTCTTGGTGAATGTATAAACTATCGAATAAAATTATTTTTGGTTGCTAGAAATTGTAATAAAATACATAAATTACCCTGTATAGCATAGTAGTAGTATATACTTCAATTTTAGTGACAAAATTACTACTAATTTGAATTCTACACTTTTGTTTTTGGAGAAATTTATATGAAAATGTTTGGAAATATGTATATTTTTATGTTTTATGTGTTTCTATTCGTTACTCATACCAAAATATTAAAATATTAAAAAATTAAAAAAATAATAATAATAATATTTTATCTGTATGACATTTCGAACAATATTTCAAAAATATTTTTGTGTGAATTTGAAATAAATACAACGTCAAGTTACTTGAAATATGTAAGAAAACTATTTTTACTTACATTTTACACTAAAAATAAATGAGAATTTGAAAAATAACACATTTATGACCCAACCGCCAAAATGGGCCTTCCGGATTTTGAAGTAATTTTGGCAATTTACTTTTCACTTTTTATACCACAAATTATATATCTACGTGTTTACTATATTACAAGGAATATAAAAAAGTATAATACTTTCGTTTTTAGTCCAGACACAAATATAAAATTCTATAAAAAAGACGGAGCACCTTCATCAAAGCGACACGTGGAACGCCGAAAGTTCAGAGTGATTTCTTTTTTTTTTTTAAGAAACATTGCCAGGTTATGGTTTAAAATAAAAGAGCATATCTTTGTCTTTGATACTATTATCTATAGCATTTTTTTTTATAGAAGAGGGGGCAAACGAGCATGTGGCTCACCTGATGTTAAGTGACTACCGCCGCCCATGATCAACCGCAACACCAGGGGAATTGCAGGTGCGTTGCCGGCCCTTTAGAAAGGAGTAAGCTCTTTTCTTGAAGGTCCCCAGGTCGTATCGGTCCGGAAAAATCACCGGTGGTAAATTATTCCACAGAGAGGTTGTACGCGGAAGAAAACTCCTTTTGAAACGTACAGTGGTGGACCGCCAAGCATCCAGATGGTGTGGATGGTATCGGGATGTTTGCCGTGTAGTGCGTTCACGAAATTTGGCGGCTGGGATTAATCCGAACAATTCCTCAGAGCACTCCCCGTGATAGATGCGATAAAATACGCAAAGAGATGCAACATCTCTTCGCAGCGCCAGTGAATCGAGCCGATCGGAAAGCACTCGGTCGTCGACGATTCGAGCCGCTCTGCGCTGGATGCGGTCAAGTGGAAGGAGCTGGTACTGGGGAGCCCCAGCCCAGAGATGGGAATAGTATTCCATGAGCGGCCGAACCTGCGCCTTGTAAAGTTGCAGGCGGTGTGCCGGCATGAAATACTGTCCCGCTCTGCTGAGCACGCCAAGCTTTTTAGAGGCCAATTTGGCCTTCCCTTCCAAGTGACCACGAAACTGCACGTCACTCGATATGTCGACGCCGAGGATTCCGATACTGGCTGAGGCAACAAGGGGAGTGCCTTGAAACTGAGGGGATACGACAAAGGGGTTCTTTTTAGCGGTTAACGCGCAAACTTGTGTCTTCTGGGGGTTAAACTGGACTAGATTTAGTCGCCCCCAATTCGAGACTCTGTCCAGCAGAGACTCGACTTCAGACACAAGTTTGTCCCGGCACTCAGAGACGTTTTCCCGAGAAATATTGGCTCGGCCGGTGTAAAGAGCATCACCAGTGCTGTCATCTGCATAGCAATGAATGCTACGGGTTTGCAACATATCATTGATATGCAGAAGAAACAGCGTTGGCGATAGCACGCAGCCCTGTGGAACACCAGCATTAATAAGCTTGCAATCGGAGCTTGCACCGTCTACAACGACCTTGATGCTCCGATCTGCAAGAAAACTGGTGATCCAATCGCACAATTTCTCGGGAAGCCCATAGGAAGGGAGCTTCGAAAGAAGCGCTTTGTGCCAAACCCGATCGAAGGCCTTCGCAATGTCCAAACTAACGGCCAATGCCTCCCCCTTGGACTCTACTGCCTCCGCCCATCTGTGAGTTAGGACTATAGCGTTTCGTTTCGTATATTAGACCAGAAGATCACCAGCTGACCTACCACGGCGAAAACCGTATTGGCGGTCACTAATCAGCTGGTGATCCTCAAGGTACCTCATGAGCTGGCAGTTTACAATGGACTCCATTGTTTTGGAGAACAAGGAGGTGATGACGATAGGCCGGTAGTTGGACGGGTCTGAGCGGTCGCCTTTTTTAGGGATCGGGTGGACGAAAGCCGTCTTCCATGATTTTGGGACTACGCCTAGGTAGTAGGAGTACCGGAAAGGACGCGTTAAAACCGGTGCCAACTCTGGAGCACACATCCTCAGCACAATTGGGGAGATTCCATCAGGCCCACTCGACTTATAGATGTCCAGGGAGAGGAGTGCTTTGCGAACCGAGCGCTGAGTGAACTGCACTTCCGGCATGGAGCACTCACACCGCGGGATGGTCGGCGGCGTACTCCCCCCGTCATCGAGAGTCGAGTTAGACGCAAAGAAAGAGCCTAGAAGATCGGCTTTCTCCTTTGCGGTGTGGGCCAGTGAGTCGTCCTCCCTGTGCAGAGATGGAAGAGATGGCTGACAGAAATTCCCCTGGACAGCCTTGGCGAGAGACCAGAATGCACGGGTTCCAGAAGGAAGACGAACTAGTCTCTCGCCAATTCTGCCTATGTGCTCTGACTTTGCCTTGGCAATAACTCTTTTGAAGGACCTAGAGGCGGAATTATACTTTTTCTTTTTTAGAGCGCTGGTGTTTACATCCCTGGACGCTGATGCGTCAGCCCAGGCTCGGTAGCACTCCTGCTTATAGCATGAAAGAAGAAAGAAAGAAAGAAAGAAAATAACTTTATTCGTTGCTACGCTAATACAAACACATAAAAAAAAACAAACAATTAACTCAACACAAAAATAAACAATTAATAGTAAAAAGTATTTATAAAAAGTATTTAAATTTATGTTGGATTGCAGCAACGAAAAGGACCCGACTCAGCATTATGCTACAGCAAAGAACCGCAGCGCTGTTATTCTGTCGGGACCACTAATCTAAAACATACGAGCAGCTGTCAGACAGATTTAATGCAAAAAAAAAACTAAAGATATTTTAAATGTATATGTTTATGTAATATAATATAAAGATAATATTCTGAAAAACGATAAATAATGAAAAATAAATAGATAAATATATTACTTTTAACTATGTTGGCAATAGTATATAATAGAATAATGAAAGGAATAATAATAATAAATTAAAAATATTTATACTATGTTATAGAGCTAATTCCTGGACAATGGTGTACATCATTGACCAATATGCGATTTTGTGTATTAAGTGTCTGCGCATGTGAACTATTAGTGGAAGCTGTGAAACAAGTGCTCTGATGGAGATGGATTCTCAAGATAAGCTGTTTGCATAGGCATCTTTGGATACCATCGCCAATTGTCTGCTGCCTGCTGGCTCAAGTTG